TACTTTTTTAGAATTTTGTTGAAATTTTGCATTGTGATAGTGTTTATAGGAACATCTTAAAACATCATAGGCCTTGTATTTATGTTACGTAGTTATAGAATTTATTAAAACTCTCCTTCGATAAACTCAGGTTGTTGGGTTATAATTTAACCCTTGTTGCTGTGGACTGCATTAAACACTGATTTGTTTGTATATTATGTGTTTGTTGCAGTTCTTATTACAATCACTGACTTGTTACTAAGATATAAGTGAAAGAAAATATATTTATTTATTATTTACTATACATGTTGTTTCGCGGACCTTACTTTTAGAAGTGAACAATTAGTTCCATTAAAACACTCCGCTACCCTCTCTACCAGGGGGAGCAACCATTTCGTGTAAAGCTTAATGCCATGAAGGTTGTCACCTTCATGGCCAATATAATAAAACGAAAATACGTCCGAACAGGCCTATCGGCTGAAGTGGATCAGGCGCACGGCCTATGTTTCAAAACTTCAATTAATTTTTACATTTAAACCACTTTTCATAGGACTATAATATTTTAAGGTGTTTGTTTTGATCATCAACTCTATCAATATGCAAAGTTTCATCAAAATACAAGAAGAATAAACTTGAGGTTCTCTTTGTTAGTATTTAATTTCTAGTAATTTTTGTTCAATAAATCAATGTAATATAAATAATAAATTGAAGAAGTTGTACAATTGGGATAATATTAATATGAGAAAAAGCTCAATGAATTAATTTTGTTAATTTTCTCTATATAAATTTATTCAATAAGAATCCTAATAAATAGATATTCGTGCGTCATGATTTTGGAAGGAGTTTCTGTAACATTATATTAAATTATTAATTCATTAAAGTATCATCAAACTTATATTCTGTAAGTTACTATTGACCTGACAATGAGCATATGATAAGTACATAAATACCATTCCGTTCATTTACACCGGGCATTACAATATAGACAATTACATTTTCACATGATTTTGCAATTAAGTGATTCATCAATGTACAAAATGAGAAGGAAAAAAAACATAGTCACATTCCGAACTCCGAAACATGACTCTCAAACAAGCACCATAGACGATCCAAAAGTCATTTTAATCAACTGTTAATTTATATCTGATCACTTCTCCGATGATGTTTTGAGAGCGGCTGTACCCAAGAAATTGAAATGACATTTCGGCATTCTCCGAAACGTAAAAATCAAAGAGCGAAATGAACAAGAAAAAAATATAACACAACAATATGGACATTAATAAATTAAAAATGTGATATTTTTTTCTAAACCGACTCGACTGTAGATCTGATCGCGAGATTAAAACTTTTGGAATTTCTTTTGTTTGAAACAACTATTGTATGAAATGCGAGCATTATATATTCATAAACCCGTATATATATATATATATATATATATATACAATTTTAGAATAAACCAATCTACATTGGGCGGCGAAATTCTCAAAGAAATTAGATCAATTACATTCAATCTACTATCTATGAAAAATTAGTAATATTTGTACACTCGGTACAATCTTGATGAATCAAAATTAAATTCTATTTAAGAAAATAAACTGTATTCATTAACTGCATGAGATTAACTTAAAAATATAGCGATTGGCGTTAATGAAATAAAGAAATATAGGAGTATTAATTACTACTCAATATTCAATTAATTTTAGTTTGTTTGATCTCCTAGAAAGCATAAGGAGGTTTGAAAACTCGAGACTAAATAATTTAAAATATTTTTTGTATTTATTAAATGCACATTATTTTATAAAAATGAGCTTTTTCGAAAAAGCTCATCGAAAAGTATCAAGTTTCTCAAGTCATATCGACATTAAAATTGATGGAATATTTGAATTTGTTTAATACTCTTTAAATTACCACAGTAAAATTCTTGTGAGACTCTATTTTAGAAACTTGACCTAAAATGCGTCTTATGCGAGAAAATTTATTATGCGGTATAGAGACAATATGTTTCAAAGTGCAAGAACCAATTTAAAATGGCAAATTATGCTGAAAATCTTATTAGGCGTGATCGTCTTAACAAGGTTCTACTGTACTTTATGAAGTAGCATTATACTTGCAAATACTTATTTTCTCATTATAAATCTTATAAAAAATATTAAATGAAAATTGTTTCGTGATCTCTCATACCAGACACCTGTGTCTGACTGAGATATAAAAATATTATATCAATAAATAAAAAAAAGTGCAAAATCAAAAAAAAAATTAAATTTAAGATAAAAAAAAATTAATATTTTAACTCCCATTCCGAGGTCATAGATTAACTATGCACAAAATCATTTAAAATAATTCATAAAGTAACTATTTCCGCCTTAATTTATAATACATGCTTTTTGAATATTTAATACGATGTTAGGGTTTGAATTTTTTTTAAATAAAAAAATATATTTAGAAATAATTTGAAAACTTATTAAATGACCACCAATATATATTTGATAAATATCAATTTCAACAATTCTATATTATTTATCTAACTTGATGCGGTAGAGCATTTTAAAGCATATACTTCCTTATAAACTTATACAAAATGACTTATGTAAAAAATGATAATATATATTGAATTATTAAATGATATAAACCTATTAAATGACCAATATAATATATGTTAATAATCAGTTTGAAAAACAGTTCAATATTATTTTAGAACACATACATCCTTTTATGCATAGGATCTATTTTTATTGCTATTTTTTAAATGTATTTTATACGGGATATGATATTTATATTCAAATATAGAATTCCTTCACTGAGTTTTATTATATTTTATCCTTCCATACATCATATTAAAATTTCTGAGTAACTCATAACAACTCCTAATAAAAATAATCAATTTAAAACAAAATGAAAAAATAATTTAAAAAAACTAATTGTAAGTGCACTACGTGTTTTAGGTGATTGGCGAATATTATCGTCATCAATTAGGAACAATATAAAAAAACAATTTTAAGTATACCTGATGTTAATCAACTATTGTCGTTTCATACAAACTTGCCTAAATATTTCAGCATTCCTTAATCGCTCGCCTATATGGTTTCAACTTTATCTTCGAAGAGTCCTCTCCTCTTTGATTTATATTAAATCTTTGTTTTTCTTTGTTCATTTTTTATCTGTTTTATTTTTAATCGGCGCGTTCGTTTCGATGACTCTTCTACAGGCCCGTTTAATTAATCATTCGATATTTTCCGTTGTGGGTTTTAAAAAGTTATTAATTATAATCTTCGCTTCGACTTCGTTCGAATGTGTTAGTAGATATATGTATATCCGATTCGTAGGAGTCGCTCATGTGTGTGTTGTTCTGGGCATGTGTTATATGTCAAATGAAATATTTCGTTAATTTAATATAAGATTTCATCAGTGTATATTGTCACAATATAACTGTTGTTTAAAAAAAGTAATGATGTCATTCTGGTTAAGTTGGATTTACATAGTAAGTAAACCGATGTGGGCTTAATGAAAAATATGCACGTTAATAAAACTTATATTCTTCAAAATTTCTTTAGCAAACAAAACTACATTAATTTGATCAACCAGTTAACTGTGCACTTTTTATGTATCTCCGAAACGGCTGGACCTGCCTTTGGAAGAAACTAATCAGCACGTCTTTCCATGATGTTTTATGAATCATTCATACATACATACATTTTTTTCAGGTATGCCAAAATGCTCAGAAACCTCTGAAACGTAATGAGTGCAAAAATTCACATTTTCGATTTTTTGCGATTACTATGACTTACCCTACCGAAAGTTAACAAAATAGTTTTGAGTTATTCTGGTATAAAATAAATAGTTTAAACTTGCAATTTACCTCAAAAAAAATATTTTTTTTGATTCTGACTATCAAGGATCTTTTATTTTTTGTTGCTACAAATTTGTCTGTAAATATTACTGTGCAAATATTCACATTTTTTATTTTTTGCGATTACTATAACTTATCATATGAAAAGTTAACAAAATATTTTCAATATTTTGATTTATACTGGTATTAAATAAATAGATGTAACTGGCAACATTTTTCCTCGATTCTGACGATCAAGATTCTTTTATTGTTTATTGCTCTAAATTTGTCTGCAGAATTTCACTATTTTAGATAATTATTAAATTATGTATAATGCGTCAAAATATAAATTGTAGCATTATGAGAATCGATAAATCCAACAGATTTACGTACGTTATTTATTACTTCGTTATTTTCCTACAACTTTATATAATAAGTGCTCTATTATATTAAAGTGCCTTTATAAATTACTCTCTACAGTTAAGTGATATATTTAGTATTTAAATATTGAATTGGGCTCCACCGAAAATTAGTGTTTAAGGCTAAGGGATTAGAATGAAGTTCCTGGTTTGATACCCGCCAGGGGCAGCCTTATGTCAAGCAGTAGTGACATCGGTTTTTAATTGGAAATACAGATAGCAATATGTAAAAATAGTGATAAAATGCATCAGTATTACAAAAATTGTATGACATCAATGATATTCTAGTAATATCTGTCGTCAGAAAAATTACACATGATGAGAAATAGATCACGTTTCCAGATTGTTCTGTTACACTTTCATATTTGCCAAATCATAAATATCGAAAAATATTTTTGAGTTAAAATTTAGCATTAAATAAATGCTAATCCCAAAATTGAAGTGATAAAATGGAACCCTGCGTATAAAATATGACCACTTTGATCGTAAAAAAAAATCGATATACGTAAATATCTCTTAATTGGTCTCTACCTATCTATTAATTCTAGTCTATTTCTTAATAAGTTTTTTATATCATTATTCTGTATGATATATACACAAACCAATCATTAGTTAGAAGGAAAGTACATGGTTAATTAACAATATTTATTAATTTTATATTGTAACAAATTACACATAAAATCACTGTCATCGAGAATTCTACGTGATATTGTTAATTTTAATAACAAGAACATGTAGACATATAATAATATGCAAAAACGTCACGCCGCACTTACCTGCCCGCAATTATCCATTTAAGCAGTTTTTGTTCATGTAGAACGTACTTAACAACCGCGTAAGGTTCGGCGAATTTTCGAACAGGAAGAAACTGAAAATAAAAGAAAGCGATAAATAAAATTAAAAAGGTATTTTACGGCCGCGAAACAAAACGAAATGTGGTACGCGACACCTTCTTGATTTCCAATTAAAAATACACGAATTCCTTATTTGACGACTGGAAGACTGGAAGACGCATGCTTCTGGTACCTGGATTCGATGTTCGAACACACGTCAGGTATGGTGTAGACTTTGACCAGGGTTTGTAAACCCTCACGTATTGTGAAAACAGGGATGCAAAAAGTAAGAGAAATATGCTTTACAAAAAATGCCCCAAGTTTCATCTCAAAATGCTGTGTAGTTGATGTGTGAGATTTGTCATTTATAGATGTTATTATAAATTTACTGGCATTTGAAATTAATTGAGAAAGACAAGAACTTCATTTTAATTTGGAAATAAAAGTTTCGGTTACAATTGAATGGCACTGACTCAACGTTAATAAAAATTTCAGTTCAGTTCAGTTCAAAGAGATATATTTCAATATATAAAATGCTACTTAAAGGTGGATTAGTACATAAGTTGAGTATCCTGGGTATTATACTTCTTCATATAAAACAAGAAAATAGTGTATTGTATTTATGCGACAAAAAAATAATAGTTTTGTTTTAAAAAAAATCAAATATCAGTCTTTTGCGAAATAAAAAGAGTGCATAAAATTTTTGTGTCCCTATATGCCAATATCGAAAGTAAAGCACCTTTACTTTTTTACATCATGACTTTCATACTTTGAAATTGATTTTAGAACAAATAAAAAATAATACCAACAAGATAAATTAATATAGTTCTTAGAACATCACGAAGGAATTTTATATATTATGAAGACTTAATCCATAATCAATATCTATCTAACCAATATCTAATAATTCCATAATCAATTCTATTTTTTTTAATTAACTTCCCGTAGGGTAAGTTATAGTAATCGTCCAAAAATCGGAATTGAAAATTTTTACATTTCTCGACGTTTTGAAGGTTTCTGAACATTTTGGCATACTTCAGAAAAAATGGATGTGTGTGTGTGTGTGTGTGTGTGTGTGTGTGTGTGTGTGTGTTTTGTATGTCCGCGTTTTTTCGTCCACGTTTTCGGGCGGACGGATCAACCGATTTGAATGGTTTAAAAAACATTCGATTCCTATTGATAGGGAGATGTGCTGATTAGTTTTTGGCAAAGGCAGGTCCAGCCGTTACGGAGATATGGAGCAAAGAGTGCAAAAAATAGAAAGCGAGTTTTTAAGAGAACGGATCAACCGATTTGAATGGTTTAAAAAACATTCGATTCCTATTGATGGGGAGATGTGCTGATTAGTTTTTGGCAAAGGTAGGCCCAGAGGTTTCGGAGATACAGAGCTAAATTTAAAAAAAATTGCTGTTTTTGAGAGAACTAAGCGTCCGATTTAAATGATTCAAAGAACTTTCTGCTTTTTTCAACAAAATAATTGATTTTGAAAAAAAAATTTTTTGTTTCTAATTTTTTTTTCAAAAAAATTTTTTTGTAATTTTGGATTAAAAATTCAAAAAATCACCCAAGCTAAGCACAGTCTAAGCGCCACTCTGGTACAAATGTTTACCCAAGTGCGTTTAGACTGTTTGTGTACTGGAGCACTTTTCCAATTTTGTGAAAATTATTGAAAAATGTGAAAATGCCGCCAAGCTGAGCACAGTATAAGTGAAAATGTCGCACAGAATTATTTGCAAATGCGTTTAGACTGTAACTATGCGGGAGCACTTTTTCAATTTTGTGTAAATTTGGCAACTATTTTTTTTTTTTGGAATTTGATTCGAAATGAAATGACGATTGTTAATGTTCTGGAGATGATAAATTGATTTATTTATAATTAATTTTCCATAGGGTAAGTAATCGCAAAAAAATCGAAAATGAAAATTTTTATATATCTTCACGTTTCAGAGGTTTCTGAATATGTTGGCATACCTTGGAGAAAATTGATGGATGTGTGTGTGTGTGTGTGCGTGCATGTGTGTGTGTGTTCGGATACAAATTTTCGTCGACGATTTCGGGAACACGGATGAAGCAATTTGAATAATTCAAAAAACATTCTAGCCGTTCCGGAGATACGGGGCAAAAAGTGCCAAAAACGGTAACTCAGTTTTTAAGAGAACGGAGCGTCCGATTTGTATAGTTCAAAAAACATTTTACTTGTATTAACAAGATGAAGATTTGATCAAATTTTCATGAAGATAGGTCTAGCGGTTTCGGAGATCTAGTAAAAAAAACTAAAAAAAATAACATTTGGCGGTCAACAATAATCATTAGACATTAGACATATGCATATCAAATTATCAGGTATTTTATTAAGATTTTAACAATAAGTATAAGTTTTGTTTACATTCCTATGGGTTCCGTACTATTGTTTTTCCGTTAGACAGCGACGCGGCGCTTACGCGCTTCTATATTTCGTCTCTATGCAGTTAAAGCAGTACGATTGCTTTGAAAAAAAGTTCAGATCTTCCAAAATATATCAAAATGAAGATAACATTTTTTCCAAAAAAAAATTTTTATAAAAAAAATTGTTTAAAAATTTTTTTAAAAAAAAAATGTTTTTTTTCAAAAAAAAGTAATTTTTTGTCCGATTTAAAATTTCTAAAAAATCTTATTTTTTCGAAGTGAATTTTTTTCAAAAATGTTAATCGTTTTTAAAAAAATAATAATTTTTGGCACGGGAAGTTCTAGCAATTTGCCTTAAGGCACGATGCCTTAATTGCCTTAAGACAGAATTTCACTTACAGCTAGTTTAACAAGCAATCACAAATTGAAACGAACTATTAATTAAATCAGAGAAGTGGCGATAATATAATAATAATGTTAATAATTAATTAGCTATAACGATATAATTATAGTAAGAAAATAATATTTTTATCGCAATTTTTTTAATAGAATGAAAACTCAATTTGGACCCACAAATTTGCCTACAATTATTTGCTTTGGACTTCAGTTAATATTGTTTCCAAAAGTTAATAAGTTATAAGTAAAAAGTGATTATTTTAACAAAATCAAAAAAGCCTTTTTACTTATCTCACTTGAATAATTATTGTCATGACATTTGTGTAGTACGTATTGTATGAATAATTAAGCAATAAATCCTCAAGATAATAAATTTTAATAGTTAATTGCTTAATAAACGATATTTATATCGATTAAGTAATATTTTAATGTTTTCTATAGAATTGATATAGTATGATCAGAGAGAATGTTGTTTTATGACAGCTAAAGGTACATATATTAAATATAGACAATATAAATCATATGTTCTAGAAATAATTAAGTAATTAATCAGAATAATTAAAACATTTAATTCATTTGGTAAAGGAATATGGAAACAGAACACGTGTTCTCAAGATTTGCAAATTTGCAAGAATCACAATTTAATTTTAATTTTTTTGTGCTGCATCTTGCATACTTACACAAATCAATCGATTCCATTTAATTTGAATCAACCCATAAGAGAAGTGAATACAATTCAATATAATTTTGAATCATAATGTAAAAATATTCTTATACCTATAATTGAATAGATAGCCATTTCCCAAATTAAGGGATTTTTATTTATTTTATTTATTTTAGAAAAATACCATATATTCGAACCAATGATATTTCATATAAATTTGCATTTTACACTATGTTGTTTTTCAATACATCTAACATAGGTAACAATTTAAAGATCTCATTAAAATAATGGAGAATATAATAAAAACGTAAAAGCAGGAAGTTAAAAAGTAGGGCTGTATATGTTTTTAATTGTGCTTAAAACAATAAAAAAATTAAGGGTAATTAACCCTTACTATTTATAAGTACGAAAAAAAGATGTTTTTCTGTCCTAGTGAATATAAAATTTCATAAAAATCGGTCGAGCTGTTTCGGAGGAATATGATCAGAACTGATCACTAAGAATTATATTATGTATATATTAATCACCACTATAATCCTGCTAATTATGTGATTCTCTATTAAAATTATACTAAAAAACAATATTCTTTCACTAAATTCTGTATTCTCTATTCTCAACCACAACTCAATCTTGCCATTGCACATCTCTTTCACGACTATAAACAAAATACTAATCCTCCTATATTATTTCCAACTTCATAGCCTCTTTTGGTTAGACTCAATTTGTTGCCATCTCTCTCATTTATTTACACTAATGGCCATTACATTCAAACTAAAATTACTACTGCATAATATTAACTTAAAATTATAATTATAAAATAAAAATATATATGTTTGTATATAAAATAAATATGTGTGTGTATTATAGTCGTGTGTATCATTTATCGCTCGAATGATACGAGTCAAAGACAAAAGTGTAGTCGAAGTTATGAAGTCATAAAAGTCGGTATATATGTTATGTTGCGGAATGAAGAAGCGGTTTTTAGCTTTCGTTCACGGATTTTAAGTCGATTCTTTTAGCTTAAGTGTGTGACTTAACGCTACCCGCGGCCGCGCACCAATCACATGCTTATAATCAGCGGCACAAACTGACCGCGACCGATATGCGAAGGTACTTTGACCCCTGTAGGAGAGAATTGATTGTCTCGCTCCGTGCTCGACGGATTCTTCGGCAAATTCAAATAATATTTGGCCCAGAGGAAGATATATCATTTGGTATTTGTTGTAGTATTTTATGGTCTTAGTTTTAATTAATTTATTTCACAACTCTATTTTTGGGGGTCTCCATTAATCACGTGATCGATTTTTTAGGGATTTTTGGAACCCCCTCCCCCTCTTGGTGATGCATCAAAATAAAAAAACAATTGAATACACTCTATAATTTTCCAATAATTTTTTTATAACAAGTAAACTGTTCGGACGTATTTTTGTTCTATTATATTGGCCATGAAGGCGGTAACCTTCATGGCATTGAGCTTTTACACCGGATTTTTGCTACCCTGTAGAGGGGGTAGCGGATTTGGATGGGACTTATTTTTCTCACTTCTAAAACTAAAGTCCGCATAACAACGTATGTAATAAATATATTTCTTC